TGAGCTTAGTGAGTGGGCTGATATCTTTGAAGCACATGAGGCTCTTGTTTCAAGCTCCCAACCCACCTGCAATAACTTGATTTTTGATGGACTCACAGCTCACCCCATCACTAATCCTCTCCTTGATGGTCCATTGTTCTGTCTCCAAACCAGGGTCAAGGTTGTCCACACACAGACTACACCCCAAGTCCAACATTTCAACTTTGCTCCTGGTCAGTGGGTTGCTGTCTGGGCTGATGCTGATGAAGACACTCAGGACTTTTGGATATGCAAGATCATCAGCATTCTCCATAAGAGGCTCCATGTCCACTGGTGGAACTTCACTAATGGACGCTGGACTGACCATGGCTCAGAAAGCACTGTTCCAATGGGGTCTGTTTTAGCTTGTGGCTTTGACTTTAACGCCAACACCAGAGTTCCCCCACCCACCCTTCAAGAAATATTTAGACACCTGTAAATAAAACTTCTCTTCTCTGTGTACATTCAAATTCCACAGTGTTTTTATCTCCTGTACACCTGTTTTTAGTTTCATTAAAAAGTACCACTATCACCTTTTTCCAGACACAGTGTTTTGGGTGTGTAGCACTTGGACAAGCAATGAGCTGGTCAAAGGTTCAAGCCAGAGCAGTAATGATCTCAGGCACACTGCAGTGGGCAAAGACACTCATCACTTCAAGTGTGTTCTGGTGAAGACGTGGCAACACAAGGAGGACACAAAACACCATTCTCATGAGAATGTTGAGGAATCAAGCACAGTGCATTGAGGATGAGGTAGCAGTACCATGATGACTCATCAGGCACCACACACAGCAGGCTCCAAAGAAGTAGGGTGAGGTGGGGTCCTGCCAACATCCCTGTTCCCATGGGTACCATCTCACAGATCAAGGAAAGGTCAGGAATAAGGAGCAGCCACTCAATGGCCACACAGTCAGCCTTGGAGGTGCACAAGATAGAACTTCCATTAGTGAGCAGCTGTATCCAAATGTCTGTTCAGGTGCAAGGCGCTTGGACATACCACAGTGTGAGCAGCATACCAGGTACCTGGGTGGATGATGATGAGGTCTCCTGGATACTGATTGACAACACACATCCACATCTGATAGATTGGGCATGGCAAACACAGAATCAATCAACAAAAAGCTGTGTGCAGTGAAGGGTAGGTAGGTTGTGCACTTGGAACTTGTCCAAGGTACCACTGTTCATGAAGAAGTTGAGCTGGGATTCATTGAGCTCATTCTTTACAGGCACTTTAGCCTGGACCACCAACTGCTTTACCATTGTTGTCATCTGTGGTGCACAGTGTGTGAGCCATGACACAAGAGGAGCAGAGGTAGGAGTGGTGGTGATGTGTACCCTGCCATGCTGGCTTGCATGGTCAACAAGAAACCAACAACAAAATGGCACCTCAGCATGTCCACAATCAGCATGCTTTCTCATGGCCCAGGCATCCAGAGTCTGGCCAAGCAATGATGCTGCGGCAAGATTGCATGTGGTGAGATGAAAGAGAGGCTGCAGCACAAGACAAGATGCACCATTACATGGAGTGATTGGTGAGGTAATGTGTATTGGGTGAGTGTTATTGGTTGGGTGGGCGTACTGCAAGGCATGTGGGAGAACTGCCAATCCAGGAAGTGTACAGCATTTATTGCAGGCAAATGCAAGATCACATTGCTCAAGAAATGGTACCAGCACTCTTCACAACCTTGTTCTGAGAGCATGTCCTTCAGCATTTGGCACATGATGAGTTCATCAGTCAAGGCCAAATTTGTTCAGCAGCTGGCTGCAATTTTCACTCCAGCATGTCAACTCACCTTGAAGCACTTATCTGCCCTGCAAGTATGTCATGCATCCCCATGGAGGTTGCTACCTCATCGCAGAGGCTGTTTCAAAGGCGTAATGGAGACCACACATGTGTTAGTGGAAACAATGTGCAGATGCCTGTTCAAATTGGGTTTACCTTGAAACTTGGTCAGCAGTTAGAAAGCCAGCTGCCATTATGGCAAACTGGCAAGAACATCAAAGAAACAGACCTGCCCCAAATTGCTGCTTGGCAACCTCTTCCCAGTTCTCAACAACCACCTTGTGGTCACAGGTACCATAGCTCTTTCCACCTGTGCAGCACCTGTGGCTCATTGGTGAAATCCCCCTGGTTGTGGTGGTGCACAAAACTGGTTGTGTGGTGGCAAGGAGGGGGGATAGGTGAGTGGGGTGAGTATTTGTTGTGTATGAATGCAGGTGCGCCATTTGGATATGTATACTCATGATTGTATTTTATGTTGTGGGTAACACAAACATGGAGCCACCCTTTATACCCCTTGCACTCCTTGGGCGCCATGGGCTTCATTTCCTCCTTGCTGCACTTGAGGATGCCCTTGAGCAGGGTCTTCACAGCCTGCTTGGTGGGTGTCTTGGCCAGTGCCTTGGTCTTTCACTCTTCCTCCTGCTCCTCCACAATGCCCTCCACCTCTGCCTCCTCCTCTTCCTGGATGCCCAGAGCCTCCAGCTCACTACCTTCATCACTCTCCTTGGGCGTTGTTTCCACCTTGCACTTACCTTTGGTCCTGATATCCTTGGTGGGCATCTTCCCTTGATCACTGTCTTCTGCTTTGTCCTTCTCCACTTGCTTCCTCTTCTTCAGCCTGTCCCTCTCCTTCTTGCCCATGTCCTCATAATCTAGCATGCTGTCCCAATCTGCATCTTGGGGGATGGCTGGACCTCATAGGCCAACTCATGTCCTGGGACCCTGATGTTCAACATGGCAACATGCTTTCAGTTCAATGAAAGGTTGTGCTTGCAAGAGTGATGTTGGTGTACATTGGGGCAAGTGAGCCTTCATTGCTGGAGGTGATGATGGGTAATGCCCCTGGCTGGATGGGGCAGATGATGCTGGGCAGTGTGTCACCCCTCTACAGCCACTTTGGTGCCCCTACGCCAAGTGTTCCTAGTGGTACCTGGCCACACTTTTGTGCAGTACTTCTTTAGAATTCAACTCACCCATCCAGTCCCAGTGTGTTTGTCAGGTGCAACACATGAGCTCTTATCACCAGGAGATGTCAGCAAAATGTGATTGTCATTGTTGCTAGGGTTAGCACCCAACATGCTGCCGCAGGAGAGAAATGCTATAAACAAAGGAGGCAACAAAGTGTGCCATACCAGAAAAGGGTGATGCAAAGGGTGTCTGTGGCTGCACTAAACCCTCACCATAAGAACCTTGAGGTGTATGACCGCCTATGCAGTACCTCCCCCACAGTTGGCACTAGCAACATGATGCCAAGGGGCATGGGAAGGTACCCATGTATGCTAGCATGTCACTTACCATCTGCTGTGCTT